GGCGGGTGGGGGCCTGCCGTCAGGGAAACTCAGGCACATCTGTCCCTTGCCTTCCTCCACCTGCTCCCGAAATGTAGGTGTACCTGTCCCGGCCACCTGCCTGCCCCCTGGGCGTGTATGAGCTGATGCTTCGGTGCTGGAGCCGAGAGCCGGAGCAGCGGCCGCCCTTTTCCCAGCTGCACCGGTTCCTGGCAGAAGACGCACTCAACACAGTGTGAATCCTGACGCCCAGCCGCCTCCCTCGGGCTCAGAGGAGCCAGGCGCCATCCAGAGGAGCCCATGGCCCCGCCCCTGCCCGTTACCTCTGAGAGGCAGTGGGACCCCTCGCTGCTCCCCTCCTAGCAGCGCCCCACCCACCCAGGGGGCCTGTGGCCAGACCCTCTCAGGCCTCTTCTGGCCGTCCCTTGGGGAGGCCTGGGGCCGACACAGGGCAGACACTGGACTTGGCCTCTGGAGCCCCTGGGCCCCTGGACAACACTGGTTCTTGGAGGGAAGGTGTGGCCCACAGCCTCTCTCTCCGTCTCACACTGGACCCCACTGGCTGAGGGCCTGGGAGGCGAGGAGGGCGCAGAAGGACTTGTCCTCCGCTTGGCTCCCTCCCGCCATCCGCAGAAACACTGGACCTGGGTGGCCCTGCCCGGCCCGTCACGCCCACTCTCCTGCCCGTTAGAGCTAGAACTCCTCTAAGCCGACGTTTCTGTGGAATAAATATTGGAATTAGGGGACAGGGGAACACGCCCGTGGCCCTGGGGCCAGGTATCTCTGTCATAGCTGCCACATTGGTTTTTCTATGATCACTTGGGGTTTGTACATTTTTGGCAGAAGAGACACAGATTTTTACACTAATATATGGATCAAGCTCCGTGTAATTTTAATCCCCTGCACTAGGCAGGTAACAATAAAGGTGAGTTTTCCACAGCTATGGGTAGGTTTCTTGGGTTTTGGTAAAATCTCCTACTGCCGCTCCGTTTTCTTTCTTCCTCCTTTTCCCTCCTCCCTGTTCTCATCCCTGCTGTGCTCCCGGCCCAGCACAGGGCTTCGTGTCCATAAGCCAGGCCCTGCTGCTGGGACCCAGGACTGTCTGAGCCTCAGCAGCTCCAGCAAGAGCTCTGCCGGGGGGGCGGGGGCGCGGGCGGTGGGCTGCGTCTGGACCTCCTTTGACCCGCGGCTCTGGCAGCAGGGAGGGGCCCCTGGTTCCTCCTCGGAACTATGCTGTGAAACCGGTTTACAGTGGGATGTGAATATATAGATGATACAGTGTTTGTAAAAATGTTAAAAATTATGCTATGCCCATGTCCTTTTAAACATATTTAATAACATCTAGCAGCAGTTGTAATAAGTACTGACATGTTCAAACAGAAATCGGTACCTGACATTTCTGTGGCGGGATATGAAAATGGCTGTGGTCTGTTAGTGACAGGCAGATGCGGGGGTTTTGCTCATACTCACACTTGGAGGAGATGCTGAATTTCAGCTAGAGGTTAATAAAAATAGACCTGTCCTTTTCTAGCCCATATTCCAGCCCCCCCCCCCCGACCTGCTCCCCCCCCCCCCCCCCCCGCCCCCAAGGTTCTGGAAGTCCCAGCTGGAGAATACTTACTTGGATTATGCTGGTCAAGTGTGCAGGTCACCCAGTGGGAGTCTTGCTGGAGCCAAAAACAAGAGCCTAAATTTTAGTTTCAGGCTTGGAAGGATGACCTATACCACCAAGAGAACATTTAACAGAAAGTTCAAAATTGGTTGGAAAGGGAAAAAAATCAGTTGCAAGTACTAGCAAAGGCAAACCCACCTCGATGGTAGTTCTTGTGAAATAAAGACCCAGGGACTGAGCCGCAGGTCTGAGCGCGAACCGCACTGCAAGGGGAGGCGCTGAGAGCAGGGCCAGGGCCCAGGAGCCAGAGCCCTGGTGGTGAGGGCTGGAGGCCCTGCAGCAAGCGGGGACCCAAGCCTCTGCGCTCAGATTTCCTACCCTTTCATCTCGTGGCACACAAACTAATAGGTAAAATTCTGTGCACACTAAAGAAATATGTATTTTTTGCTAATCTGACCAAAATAGGTATAATTTTGATTCATTCACACTGGACAGCTATTGTGTTGGATGTCATGTTATTTATTTATTTTTTTGAGAGCGAGAGAGAGTGAGAGAAAGAGAGACTGATTTGTGGTTCCACTTTATTTGCGCATTCACTGGTTGGTTCTTGTATGTGCCCTGAGCCGGGACTGAAGCTGCAACCTTAACGTAACGGACGATGCTCTAACCAGCTGAGCTACCAGGCCAGGGCCAGGACGTTGCCATTTTTTAATCTAAGGGAAAAGAGGCCAGTGCCCTGACTAAATAGTCAGGTATCTCATGTTGTAACAATTCTTGCGGCACACAGTTGATAATCGCTACCCTAGACACAGCCACCAGAAGTTCAGGTGCATGTCAGTCTCGGTGTGTCCTCGCCCCTGTTCCCTGACTGACTGGCAGTGGAATCCACTCAGCGCACAAGCCACAAACCTGGGCTCCCCTGCTCTCCCTCACATCCAGCCTATCACGAAGCTCTGTTGACATTGCTTCCCAAACTTCCCTTATACCCGTCCTTCCTCTCCGGCACCCGGCACGCTCAGTCCTCCTGCCTGGACCCAGACAGTGTCCCGCAGGACCGTGCCTGCTCCTCTCAGGGCTGTTTTCAGCCCTGCAGCCAGACTGAACTTGAAAACACATAAACCTGCTCCATGGTTTCAAACCCTTTAATGGCTTCCCATGGACTTTGGAATAAGAACAGCACCTTCCTGGAGAGCCAAGATGGCAGCTAAGGTACAGACCTGCGCGTGCTGCCTCCCACAACAACATCGAGGCTACCAACTGTGGGACAAACAGCTATCATACGGAACCATGGGAAAGCTGGCCCAGTGGAGGTTCGACAACTGGAAGGAAAGAAAGAAGAGCATTGAGACTGAGTAGGATGTGCAGACACACCAAGTACAGAGCCCAACCCAACAAACTGCAGATTTCAACTCCTCACATAGGCACGCTCAGTCCTCCTGCCTGGACCCAGACAGTGTCCCGCAGGACCGCGCCTGCTCCTCTCAGGGCTGTTTTCAGCCCTGCAGCCAGACTGAACTTGAAAACACATAAACCTGCTCCATGGTTTCAAACCCTTTAATGGCTTCCCATGGACTTTGGAATAAGAACAGCACCTTCCTGGAGAGCCAAGATGGCAGCTAAGGTACAGACCTGCGCGTGCTGCCTCCCACAACAACATCGAGGCTACCAACTGTGGGACAAACAGCTATCATCCAGAACCACGGGAAGGCTGGCCCAGTGGAAGCTCTACAACTGGAAGGAAAGAAAGAAGAGCACTGAGACTGAGTAGGTGCTGCAGAGGCTCCAAGAACAGAGGTACGGAGTCGCGTGCCAGGCGGGCTGCAACTGGACGCGCGGTTTTTTTCAATCGGAAGGGGTTACAAACTCTCAAATCCACTGAGCTCGTTTGGGGCGGGATTCTGAGGTCCCAGACCCCTACGGGGAGAGGCGGGACGGCCGTGCAGCGGGGCAGAAAGCGAGGGTGGCTCTCTGCGGAGCACTCAGGGATGCGGAGTCATGAAGCTGTGGAGAGGCCTTTGCTGTCTGCTCTGCCCTGGGGACTCCCTGAGGCCCCGCCCTACTCAATCTACATCCCCGCCCAAGCTGTGCTAGAGGCACAAAGAGAACCACGGTGATTTTGCAGCCCAGCCCAGCAGAATGCAGATTCAACTCCTCACATACATAAGGGACACACTCAAGAAGCAGAATCAGGTTCGGAGGAAGCCGGAGCTGGACCCTGCTGGGCGGGTGACGTGGAACCGCTGTACCAGCAAACGCACAGGCAGGCCCACCAGATCCAGTCTCACATGGGATGCTGGGTGATGGCAGACAGGCAGTTTGTGCACTTGGTAGAAAACGAAATCCAAGAAAGCATACCAGATATTCAGCA